CCTCATATAATTGCACCATTAAACTGTTTATTATATGAGAAAAAAAAAACAATTCAGACATTCAAAAGAAACCAAGAGTTGGTTCTTTGATAAAATCAACAAGATAGACAAAACCTTAACCAAACTAACTAAAAAGCAGGGAGAAACTAGACAAATCAACAAAATCAGAAACAAAAAGGAGGCCATAATGACAGACACTGAAGAAATTCAAAGACTCGTTGGGTCTAACCTCAAAAGTCAATACACCATAAAGTTTGAAAATATAAATGAAATGGAAAATTTTCTTGATAGATCATTTACCAAATTTGAGGCTCCTTAATCTAAACTAATAATCTCAGGATGATGTATTCTTTGTAAATGATTTTAAAGTCGATCCTATTTTATACAGATTCATCATAGCTTGAATGCATAACAAAGAGATATCTAAAGTCAGCATGACACCGTAAACATCTCTCATGCTTGTACTGTATCCTTTAAGTGCAAAATCACACTTTCTAAATCTCTTAACTTAGCTTCTCCTTTTTATCAATACACACCAGTGTTGTCAAAAATGGGGAAGAAAGGGGGCTATCTCTTAATTAATTTTCTACTGAATGTTGCATCAATTAGTCATTCATAGCAGATCTCAGGCAGATTGCTGAAGTGTGCAGGCCCAGGGCTGTTTGTGGTACAGGCAGCTGGTGAGACTCTCAAGGAGGTTTGTGTTGGGGGCTGAACTGCTGTGGGAGGAGTACTATAATGCTGCTGACAGTAGTAATCTGCCAGGTCTTCAGCCTGCACACTGCTGATGCTGAGAGTGAAATCTGTCCCAGATCCACTGCCTGTGAAGCGATCAGGGACCCCAGTGTATCGATTGGATGCAGAGTAGATTAGCAGTTTAGGAGGCTGCCCTTGTTTCTGCTGGTACCAAGCTACATAACCACTCACACTCTGACTGGACTTGCAGCTTAGGGTGATTCTGACTCCAACAGATGTGGACATGAATTCAGGAGACTGGGTCATCACAATGTTCCCCTCAGTCCCTGCAATCAGAAATACACAATGAGTATACACATATACACACAAAGAGTTCCTGATACAAATGTTGGTATCTAAAATGCCTTTTGTAATGGCATTGCCTGCATACAATTTGTTTCCTATAGTAAATAGCTGTTTCTCTACAAATGAATTATTTGGATGATATTCTAATACTTTTTTAATGTCTCACCAGACATTAAAGAGGGATTATTTCAATCTTTTATCTATTGAGGCTTGCTTTGTGACCAACCATATGGTCTATTTATAAAAGTTTCCATGAGGTGCTGAGAAGAAGGTAATTTCTTTTGTGTTTGGGTGAAAGGTTCTGTAGATGTCTGTTAGGTCCATTTGATTCATGACCTTTGTTAGAGTCATTGTTTCTTTGTTTAATTTTATTTTGTTGACATGTCCTTTGTTGAGAGTGGAATGTTGAAGTGTCCCACTATTAATGTATGGGAATCTATGTGTGGTTTAAGTTTTATTAATGTTTCTTTTTACAAATGTGTGTGCCCTTGTAGTTAGGGCATAGGTGTTCAGTATTGTGATGTCTTCCTGGTGGAATTTTCCCTTGATGAGTATGAAGTGTCCTTCCCCATCTCTTTTTATTAATTTTGGTGGAAAGTCTATTTTATCAGATATTAGAATGGCAACTCCTGCCTGATTCTTGGGTCCATTTGCTTGGAAAGCCGTTTTCCATCCCTTTATCCTCAGGTAATATCTATCTTTGTGACTTAGGTATGTTTCTTGTATGCAACAGATTGCTAGGGTTTGTTTATGCATCCATTCTGTTAGTCTGTGTTTTTTTTTTTTTTTTTAATTGAAGAATTGAGTCCATTGATGTTGAGAGAGATTAATGACCAGTGGCTGGTAGATCCTATGATTTTGATGTTGTGTGCTTGGTTGCTTTTTGTTTTACTGTAGTGAGGTTAATTATTTCCTTTGTTTTCTTGAAAGTAGCTAGTTTTCTTGGGTTGTATTTTCCTTTCTAGTGTCTTCTGTAATGCTGGATTTGTGTGTAGGTATTGTTGAAATTTGTTTTTTTCATTGAATGTTTTGTTTTCTACGTCTATAAGGACTGAGAATTTTGCTGGGTATAGTAGCCTCGGCTGACGTTGGTGTTCTCTTAGGGTCTGCCTGATATCCATCCAGGCCCTCTGGCTTTCATAGTCTCTGTTGAAAAGTCAGGTGTGATTCAAATGTGTTTGCCCTTATATATTACTTGGCTTTTTTCCCTTGCAGCTTTCAGTATTTTTTCTTTGTTCTTTATACTTACTGTTTTGATTATCTAATTTATTGGGTGTTCTGTAGGTCTCTTGTATTCTTATTCGCCTCTCCTTTAACCTTTAAGTTGGGGAAATTTTTTTCAATGAATTTGTTGAAAATATTTTCAGGGCCTTGGAGTAGGGAATCTTTTTTTTTTTTTCGTCTATTCCTATTATTTTTAGGTTTTGTCTTTTTATGTAGTCTTGAATTTCTTGGATGGTCTGTGTCAGGAATTTTTTAGATTTAAAATTTTCTATTGATGGATACTTTCATTTTTTTCCATTGTATCTTCCACACCTGAGATTCTTTCTTCCATCTCTTGTAGTCTGTTGGTTATGCTTACCTCTGTAGTTCCTGTTTTCTTCCCTAAGTTCTTTCTCTCCAAAATTTCCTCCATTTGTGTTTTCTTTAATTTTTCCCAATTCTATCTTCCGGTTTTGAGCCATTTTGTTGATTTCCTTCACCTGTCTGGCTGTATTTTCCTGTTTTTCTTTCAATTCCTTCAGCTGTTTGTTTGAACAATCCTCTGTTTCTTTTATTTCTTTCATTGATTTAAGTATTTCCTCTCTTAAGGCCACAAACTGTTTGGCTGCAACTTCCTGCATTTCTTCATGGATGGCCATAATCTGTTTTCTTTATCTTCTTCTATTTCTTTACGGATGATCATAATCTGTTTGAGCTCATCTTCCTCTAGGTCTCTATGCATTTCATTTGTTTCCTCTCTTATCCTCTTCATGAGCATAGATGTTAGATTATCTTCTTGAATTTCAATTATGTTGGAATGTTTAGGGCTACTCGTCCTTGCATAACTGGGTTCTGTATTTTTGCTCTGTCTTTTGTTGGTTGAGCTTTTATGCTGGCCTCTACGCATTGGTCTTTCTTAGGTGTTTGGAGTTAGTTTCTAGTGGTTCCTGGAATCCTTTGTTTGAGAGGGTCCCCTTGGCAGGAAGATGTTTTTCCTGAAGGAAGCCTCCTCAGCTTTCTGGGTATAGTCCACTATATGGCCGTTGTTTTTCAGTAGTTGCTACAGCTCTCCTCAGGCTTTGAGACCTGAATGGTAACTGTGGTCCTTGTTATTTGAGAGGGCTTTCCTCTCATCTGGAGAAGTCCTGGAGACAGCTGCCCTGCTTCTGGGTTTCTTGCTGTAAATTTAGTGAGCTGCTGCTGTAACCTGTGTGTCCCGTGGTTTGGGCAGTTTTGTTAGGGATAACTGGTTGCCCCTTGTAGCAGTATCTGGGGGTTGATCTCGGGGATCCTGGGCTTTTGTAGGTCTGAGGTTGGGGCTCTGTGAAGTTTGTGTACTGTTCTACTGGTAATAGCAGGTTTTCTGGTGCACAGCAGGTCCCTGGGTTTGGCCAATCTGCATGATCTTTTCCAGGGATATACTGGATGACCTTATTCGAGTCCCCATTTCCTTCCTTCCCTATGGGGTTTACTCCAGACAGGGACTCCCAGTCTCTGTTGCCCTTGGGTGCACAGCTGTCTGTGACAGGGAGTTGGGCACGTAACAACTCTTTGTGTTCGTGGTTTGAGCCCAGTTCGATGATGGCAGCTCGTACCTGCCGGTCTGCGAGACCTTTTCCAGGTAAGCCCTGGGTGACCCATGTCAGTACGGTTTCTTTCCTTCCCTGTGGGGCTTTCTCCGACAGACACTCCCAGTCTCTGTTGCCCTGGGGTGCACAGCTCTGTCTGTGCCGGAGAGCTGGGTGTGCAACAACTCTCTGTGCTTGCAGCTTGAGTCCAGTTCAGTGATGGCAGCTCATACCAGCTGGTCTGCGGGACCTTTTCTGGTAAAGACTGGGTGACCCGTGGCCAGTCCCTTTGCCTTCCTTCCCTGTGGGTTTTTCTTGCGACTGGGACTCCCAGTCTCTGGTGTTTTGTGCCCACTGCTCAGCCTGGGAAGGTGATCAGGACACACAGGCATGTGTGTCTGGTCTGGTCTCACTTGCCGGTTTTGACTGGGTGACCTGAGAGTGGACCCAACTGATTCCCATGCCGTGGGGGGTTTCCTCTCAACTGGGAAACATGATCTCTGTTGTTTTAGGGCCCAGAGTTGAGTATCTTGGTGGCTGTACAGAAAATGTTGTCCTGATCCTTAGAAGCAGTATTCTTCTGGCACCGCCATCTTGTCCCTAGTGGTTTGTTGTTGTTGTTGTTGTTTTAATTTTTAATGTCAGATGTATGTACATGTATTTGAATCTATAAAATACTCCAAGATCCCATAAACCAGCAAATAGGCCCTAATATTTCCAAAGACTGTTTAGCACAAATACTCTAAGCATTATACTGAATGAATGCTGACAGTTCTTAAAGGGGTTTAATTCTTGCAGTTTGTATAATAAATCTATGAATAACTCTGAAGGAATTGAATGCAAGATGAACACTGCCCAGCTCAAAAAGCAATTGCTTGTGGAATCTTAATCTAAGCTAGTAATGTCATAATTCTGTATTCTTTGTAAATGATTTGAAATTCTATCAATTTTTATACAGATTCATTATAGCCTAAAGGCTTAACCTGGAGATATCTAAAGCCAACATGACACTGTAAAGTTCACTGATGCTTCTTTGCTTGTACTATATCCTCTCAGTGCAACACAACAACATCTAAATTCCTTAACTTAGCTTCTCTCTTTTTATTAATAAGCACCTGAGCAGCAAACACTATGGAAGAATGGAAGCCACCACGTTATTAACGTTCTATTGAACATTGCAACAATTAGTCATGCATAGCAGATCTCAGGCAGAATGGGAAAGTGTGAAGGCCAAGGGCTCTTTGTGGCGCAGGCAGCTGGTGAGCCCTTCAAAAATGTTTGTGTTGAACACTGAAGCACTGTGGGAGTACTACTATCATGCTGCTGACAGTAAAAAACTGTCAGGTCTTCAGCCTGCACACTGCTGATGCTGAGAGTGTGATCTGTCCCAGATCCACTGCCTGTGAAGCGATCAGGGACCCCAGTGTATCGATTGGATGCCCAGTAGATCAGTAGTTTAGGAGGCTGCCCTGATTTCTGCTGGTACCAAGCTACATAGTTATCCACATTCTGACTGGACTTGCAACTTAGGGTGATCCTGTCTCCTACAGATGTTGACATGGCTTTGGGAGACTGGCTCATCACAATGTTTCCCTCAGCACATGCAATCAGAAATAGACAATGAGTATACACATATACACACAAAGAGATCCTGATACAAATTTTGGGATCAAATGCCTTTTCTAATCATTGCCTGCATACTATTGGATTCCAATAGTAAATAGCTGATTCTGTACAAATTAACTAGTTTGATGACATTTTAATACTCTTTAATGACTCACCAGACATCCAGAGGAGGAGGAATATGAAGACTGGGGTGTGTGACTCCATCTAAATTCCCCTGCTTGTCTGAACCATTTCAATAATCACTGCAAAGGCCTGGGTTATAAAACATGGGCAGCTTGGCTGGCTGTAAGGACCTATGCAAAGCAGTCATCAAATGAGAAAGTAAATAGCCTGTGTACTGTGGTGTGAGACAATCCAGGTTAAAGCTACAGACCAAATGTCATCAAAGCAAGTAAGCAGTCACTGGGGCAAAAAGTCAACATGGAAGCTCAAGGACCATCTATTGCTCTCAAACCACAAATATTGAAATACACTCATGACAGACTTCCATTAAAAATAACAACTCTTTATAGCAAGTGATTATACAGAAATAATACTAAAAAAAACTTTGATTGCATCCTGAGTAAACAATAAATATACTGATAAACAAAAGCAGAAAACAAAACAGGAGAAAGGAGAAGAGGTGGTGAGAGAAAGGAAGGAAAGAAAATGGTGGAGAGAAGGAGAGAGAAATCTGGATTGGGGAGGGATGGGAAATGTGGAGAGAAGAGAAGGAATAGAAAAGATGGAGGATAAACCTTAAAACAGAAAGGTTTGAGGGTAGAGTGCCATATCAGTGGATAAGAGCATTTGTGTCTCTTGTAAAAAGTACATTGTGAGGTTTCCAGGTCTCTACATTTGAGAGCAGACAGGGAAAATTCAGAATGGTTTGTGATCCATGAGAAAGAGGCAGAGGTGGACATGTGGCTTAATAACAACATATTACAAGTAGCATCTCATTTATGAATCCTATATTTTAAACATAATTATATTAACATGAACACAATTGAAATAGTAGTATAGAAGGGAAGGAAATCTAAGGTAAATGAAACATGGAATAGAGAGAAAAAGGAGGGTAGTCTGTCTTCTGTAGGATTACTATTTCTATGATAAACACCATGACAAAAAGCGACTTAAAAGGATGGGAAAATTTATTATTCTTACATTTCCAGGTAACAGTCTGCAACTGAGGGAAATCATTGCTGGGATCCAAACAGAGAAGGAACCCAGAGGCAGAAGCTGAGCAGAAGCCATGGAGGAGTGTTGCTGACTTGATTCTTCCTCGTGGCTTGCTCAGGTTGCTCTGTTCAGGAACCCAGGGTCACCATCAGTGGCTGGAATCACCTTCAGTGGACTGCATCTTCCCCCATTAATTGCTAATTAAGAAAATTCCTGACAGGCTTGTCCAATGCCCGGCAGTACTAAGGCAATTTCTCAACTGAGGTTTGTCCTTCTCAGATGATTCCAGTTTATGTCAGTTTGACATAAAATCTCATTGGGTATAACCAGGGTTGTATAGCATAATGCTGAAAGAAGATTCCGTTTACAAAATCCAACATCATGTGTAATGAGTATCGGCCAGCGCAGTTAATTTTTCAACAAGGACATGATGACAAGCAGGGTAAGCAGGCAGATGCTCTACACACAACTCATGTGTGTTCTGTCCACATGCAGAACACATGGAGACAATGAGATTTAGACAGGTGAATGTGCATCAGTTTCATTGTTTACTTATTCAGTGTCTGTCAAACTTTTGAGGTCTTTGTGCCTAGTCAAGTGTATATTTATGAAAAATAATTGCTAGTGATTTCTGTGAGTGCATTCAGTTTTACTAAATAATTCAGACACAAACAAATTTTATATGCAGGTAATATTTATTCATAGGTAATATCAGAAGTTCAATAAAGTAAGATCATTTTGGAATTTAAAGTTTATCTATTTAAATAATATGGATGATTAATTTGAAAAGAAAATTCTTAATTACTTCCAAACTACTTATTCTGCTAATGAACACAGGCATAAAAATGAGAATATTTTGTGTCAAATCACCTTTAAAATCATGCTATCAAAATAGGCAAAAATAGTAGAAAATATTTAATCTTTAATCAGAGTAGTATGTTCCATAAAAGATTAAAGGACACATTGGCCCTTGAATGCTCTCCTAGACTTTCAAGTCGAGTTGAGTAAGGCAAGGCTCACTGATCCTAGGAGAGAAAGGAGAATGTTTCTTTTCCGAATGTGGGTGACCTTGTATTTGGGGTATAGATGTTCACGATTTTGAAGTCTTCCTGGGGGATTTTTTCTTTGATGAAAATAAACTGTCCTTCTCCATCTCTTTTGATTAATATTAGTTGAAAGTCCATGTTATAAGACATTAGCATGGCAACTCCAACTTGCTTCTTGGGCCCGTTTGCTGAAAAAACCTTTTTTCCAGCCCTTTAGTCTGAGGTAGTATCTATCTCTGTTACTGAGCTGTGTTTCTTGAATGCAACAGAACATTGGATCCTGTTTCTGCAACCATTCTGTTAGCCTGTGTCTTTTTATTGAAGAGTTGAGTCTATTGATGTTAACAGATATTAGTAACCAATGAATGTTAGTTCCTTTTATTGTGGAGTTGGTGGTGATAGTATGTTTGTATGCTTGTTTTCTTTTGGTTTTGCTGTTGTGAAATTATCTATATCCTGTGTTTTCTTGGGGGGAGTTGACCTCGTTGGGTTGGAGTCTTCTTTATAGTATCTTCTGTACAGCTGTGTTGATTCATAGATATTGTTTAAATTTAGTTTGTGAGGGAATATCTTGTTTTCTCCATCTACGATGATTGAAAATTTTGCTGGATATAGTCGTCTGGGTTGGCATCTGTGACTTCTTAGTGTCTGTATGTTCTTAGAGATCTGCCCAGGTCTTTCAGGCTTTCACAGTCTCTAGTGAGAAGTCAGATATGATTCTGATAAGTCTACCTTTACATGTTACATGACCTTTTTCCTTTGCGAGATTTTACTATTCTTTCTTTGTTCTGTAGATTTAGTATTTTGATTATTATGTGGTGGGAGGAATTTCTCTTCTGGTATAGTCTGTTTGGTGTTCTGTAAGCCTCTTGTGTGTATGTTCTGAAAGCTTTTTGTATGCATCTCATTTTTTTTGTCAAGGAAATATTCTTATATGATTTTCTTGAAAATATTTTCTGTAACTTGGAGTCTGGAATCTTCTTCTTTCATCTCTTTTCATAGTGTCCTTGATTTCATGGATATTTTGTGTCAGGAACATTTCTGACTTAATGATTTCTTTACATATGTGTCGATTTCTTCAGTTGTATCTTCAACACCTGAGATTCTCGCCTCCATCTCTTGTATTCTGTTTTTGATGCTTACCTCTGTAGTTCCTGATCTGTTCTCTAAGTTTTCCATATTCAGAGTTTTCTAGTTTGTTTTCTTTATTTATTCTAATTTTGTTTTCAGTTCATGAACTCTTTTATACATTTCCTTCACCTGTTTAATTGTTGTCTCCTGTATGTTCTTGATGGCCTCTATTTGTTTGGATGTATTTTTTTGTATCTCTTTGAAACATTTATTTGTTTCTTATTTATATGCCTCTAATAACTGCATAATCATAGACAAAAGCTCATTTTTCTGTGTTTCAGCTGCATTAGAATAGACATTGTTTTTTTACGGTTTCTGATACAGCCATGATGTCTTAATTTGTGTAGATTGTGTTCTTACACTGGCCTTTAACCATCTGGGTATCCATAGCCTTACTTGTTTATTCCTTGAACCTTGACCTATGACTGGATCTGCCTGTCTGTGTGTGGAGTAATATTCATGATAACGAGAGAGGTCCAGGAAAACACAAATGGGTGCTGGTGTTTTGGAAGCAGCCATGCTGGGGCGAATATTTCAGAATGCAGGGCTCTCAGGCATGGATGCCTTGAAGGGAAAGGCTCAGGTGTCTCAGGTTGTAGTTGAGGGGGCACTGGTGTCTCAAGTGGAATGTTCAGGGGTCGCTCATGTTGCAAATACAGGGGATCTGTTGACTCAGAGCCAGCTGAGCTGCAACTTACAGGCCAACCAGACACTGTAAGCCAGTTCTGAGTTTCCACCAGCTGCTTGCTGTGCAGGCACAGTCTGGAACAGTAATTTCTAGTGAGGTAACCCATTCCTTGCACAGAGATTCTTCTTTAATAACCCATGCTTTCTGAGAGGACTCTTGCTCACTAAACTGGGCTACTTCTTGAAAACTCCAATTTTACATATATTTCAATTAATATGCAAAGTATTAGGGTTAATGTTTTCAATGAGCCAATCCTACTACTACTTTCCCTAATGCTTCTTTTCTCAGCTACACTTAAACATTTATCTCCCAGTATTTCCACATCCTTGATTTTTATATCACATGAGTTATATTATATCCTCAGATTTTTTAACTGTCTTTGACAAGTCACAGATTTACAAGTAGCTTCTTCATCTATACTTTGCTTGGGTAAGCCTACATCTGTCCCTTCATTTCCCCATTGCTTCCCTCTAATACGTACTAGAACTCTTCTGCCTCTACCATAATTTTTCTACTTTCATTTAACCTATATGCTATTATTTTTCTTCCTGAAATGGATGCCACACCAAAAGCCCATTTCTAGTTTCCTAGAAACTACATGTACTCCCTGATAAAAAAGAATATAGAACGTTTAAAGCTAGGACCATCATATGAGAAAATTTTACATATGGGGTTTGTCTTCTGGGATCTTGATGGACTCAGCATAATTTTTTTTCATTTCATCCACTCATTTTAAAATTTCATAATCTCATTTTACTTTATAGCTGAGTAAAAAAACGATGCTGCATTCTGAACATGACATGGGTATTGCATATATTAACTCATAGCAGCTGTTTTTACCTACACATAATTAAGCCAGTCAAAATTCTTGTAAAATGATAAATTGGCAGTTGATGTCTGCTGAGAGAGGGAGAGTCACTCCCCTTTGGAGGAAGACTTCTCATGCCTTCATAGGTGGCCACATGGCTATATGGACAACACTATAGAGACTGGGGCTATTGTTAATAATAAACAAAAGGAGCATAAAGCTGGAAGGATGATGGAACAGGGAGGAGTTGGAAGAATGTAGTGGTGTATAGATATGATCAATACAATATATTTGAATGCCTGGAACTCTAAAAGAACAAAAGTATTATTTTAAAAAAAATAATAAGGATATATGCCTAGGAGTGGTATAGCTGGAT